CCCAGCCCCTCCCCCCTGCCACTGTCACCACCACCCCAGCCGCCCGTGGCGGAGACCACCGTCCAGGACCTGCTGTCCTCCCTGTCAGACGACCCCTGCCCGTCCCAGGGGGCCTGGGACCCAGCCCCCTTTGCCCAGCCCAGCCCCGCGGGCTCCCCCCAGACCAGCCCGGAGCTGGAGCACAGGGTCAGTCTGCTCAACCGCAAGAACCAGGAGGGCTTCCCCGTCCTGCAGCTCAAGCCCACCCTCCACTTCCAGGCCGCCGCCCCGACGCTGCACAGGTTCTCCTCGTTGGAATCCAAAGAGCAGACGCTGCACAGGGTCCCGGAAGCCTAGAGTCCCGCTGGGCTGGGGGTGACGGGCAGACAGCCCGGGGCCCAGAGGCCACCCAGGGCCATACGAGGGACCCAGGAGCCCACCTGGCCTCTCGGGTGCCGCCTGCCTCCAGGGAGGGGACGCCAGGCCAGGAGGACACATGCCTCAGACCTCGCCGCCCAGAGCTGGTGCCTCCCTCTGGCTGATCAGGGGAAGGTGGTGCTCGGCTGGGGTTTTAAACCATTTTTACAAGAACCAGCCTGTGGCCCAGCCTCTGCCATCGCCTTCGCTCCCGGCCCCTCGGGAGCAGCACTGTGAGCAGGGGCTCCAGCCCCACCCGCGCCCTCGCGTCCAGGCACCTGGGTGGAGCCCAGTCTCAGACGACCACTGAGCCCACGTCGTTCCTCATTCTCTCATTTCCGCATGAGCCTTTCTGAGTATTTTTAAGACAAACCCTAGTTTCCACCCTCACAGGACGTAAGGGGTGAGTTTGGAGGTGGGTGGGCGTGTCCTGGGGAGGGACGCCATTTTGCACACTCAGCTTTGTAATAAAAGCCAGCTGCACTGAGCCCAGGTTGGCAGGCGTTCTCCTTGGGTCGCTGGCCTCGGTGAAGCCTGCAGTCCTCTCTGGGGTTGGGGTTGGCTGCTGGGACCCCACCCTCTCCAGCAGCCCCGAGGCATTTCCAGAGAGGAGGGCACCTGGGCCCAGGCAGGCAGCTCACCCTGCCGGCCTGTGACTGGACTAGTCCCTTCCCTCATCTCCGCCCAGGAGGCCAGAATCCCTTTTCGCTGACAACTGCCTGACCCAGCTCCCTCCCTGGGATCTCGAACTCAGCAGGTGAAAAGCTGAGCGCCACCCTGACGCCCCCATTGGGGCTCCCTCCTCTTCCTCCACAAGCAGTCGCCAGTCCTGGCCATTCTGCCCTCCAGCCCCTTTGTGAACTGGCTCACCTGCCCCTGTGGCCGCCCTTTCTCCCTCCATCCCTGTCCAGGTTGTTCTCAGTGTGTGACTGTCTAATGCAGCCCCCCGCCCCCCCCGTAGGGGGTCAGGGTGTCCACAGGCTCCTGTGGCCCCAGGAAATCCCCATCCCAGGCTGTGGCACCTGCCTGCCTGAGCCCAGAACCCTGCACGGGCCACAGGCGGCGCCGGCACTGGGGAAGGTCAGACAGCTGGGGGGGGGGGGGGGGGGGGGGGGGGGGGGGGGGACGCGCACATGCGAGGCCAAGCACATCATTGTTAAAGGAATTTGTCCGCCAGTTTTGGGGTGTCACGTGAGGCATTCTGGGTCCCCGACAGCAAAATTACAGCTCCCACTAAGCGCCCTACTAAGGCCTCTACACGTGGGCTTTACTCCCTGGTGCCCTGTGAGATGGTGTCACAACCTCCATTTTACAGAGAAAGAGCCCCAGGCTCAGCGCCTCGGAAACTCCTAAGGACACACCCCAGTGAGGCGCCCACACTGGGTCCCAGGTCCACCCTCCGCAGCGTGCGAGGTGTGTGCCAGGCTGCAGAGCTTTGGAAGCAAAAGTCACAGCTTCTGTCACATGAAGGGTGGCGGGCATGGCATGACTGACAGTCTCTCGGGCAAGAGCCAGCAGGGCCCGGATGAGTGGCCTGCAGGCCCGGCTGCCCAGTGTCGCTGCCCCAGTGGTCGAGGGGCCTGTCCTGAGCCAGAGGTGAGACCCAACCACCAGCCAGTACTCGCCCCTGCTGTGGACGTCTTCTCCGGAGAAACCAGAGGCCTCAAAGGACAGCCCTGGGGACGCTGCTAGGCAAGTGTCTCCTGCTCCCTGCCTCAGTTTCCCCACCTAGAAATGGGGTCGGCAGAAGAGCTTCGTTTGGAAGCTGGTTTCTCAGGGATGACACATGGCCGTGCGGTGCATTCTGCTGAGCAGCCCCTGGTGAGAACGGCAGGGCCAGACCAGGATGGGAGAGGTGCCCGCCCCCCCCGCCCAGACAGTCCACGGCCGCAGCTTAGCGGGTGGACACTTACAAGCCAGGGCACAGGTGTGGTGTGGAGCCTGGAGGCGTGGAGCACAGGAGGTGAGAGTAAAAGCTTGTGGCTTTCATGGTGCCCTGGGGCCCGCCTTTCAGAGCCCCTCCGGTGCCCCCAGAGGGAGGAGGGCCTGGGGCACACAGCTGTCTCCCAGCAGCCAGCAGGAGGGAGAGGACAGCAACGGCTCCCAGTCCTTCACTTCCTGGGAGATGGGCTCTGCAGAGTGGGTGCTGCTTTCCCTGCTCTAGAGGGAAACGGTGCAGATGGTTAATTACTGACCTGGCGGGGAGGGGGGGCGGGGGATCAAACCCAGGTCAGGCTAGTAGATGTCACATGGCACATGGAGAAGTGGGCACCTGGGATGAAGCCAGTGGCACAGCCCAGACAGAAGTCGGCCTCCGGCCCAGGCAGCTGCCCTCCTTCAGCTGCCCTCCCTGTAGACCCTCCAGCAGGGCCCCTCCCTGCCCAGCCTCAGCCCAGAACTGGATGGGAGCCACTCCTGTGGCCAGGGTGCCCCCCGACAGGCCAACCCTGGCAGCAGGGGCCAGGCTCGGAGCCAGCAGTGCTGGTGGCCAGCCCCCAAGAGAGTTGGGCCCGAGCGGGCGGCCTGGCCCTCGGTCGGCCGCCCCTAATGACGCCAGGGCCCAGACCTCTAACCCAAACCCTGGCCTTCAGACCAAGTCCCACAGGCGGGGCTTTCACGGGCCGTGCAGCTGGCGCGTGGCGGGGACGACCCTCAGCTCAGGGAGGCCCGGTGCTGCTCCCAGGCCATGTGGTGCCTCTTCATCCGAAGAGAAGGCCGAGAGCAGGGCTGTGGGCGCTCACTACACAAGGGGGAAAGGGAAGGGCCTCGCCTTCACACGGGCACTGACAGCAGCTCGGGTGGCACAGATTAGCCCGGGTCTCGAAAGGTGTGGGGCCTCTACCTCAGGTGCTGCTGGGCCTAGAGGGTGCGCCGGTGCCCAGGCACCTGACGCTGGGCCAGCCCTGCTCCTGGCTGGCTCTATGGCCCCCTCCCCCGTCCTCTCACCAGGATCAGGCAGGACGCTGACCCCGGGATGAAGGTGGCAGACTCCCCGGTGCCTGTGATGACGCACCTTCCACAAGTGCTCGGGGAGCCTCAGGACGAGGCAGGGGCCCCTCCACCTCCACTGTATAGCGAAGGGGTGGGTGCGGGGCCACAAGGGACGGCCAGTGTGCAGACCAGACCAGTGTCTTCCCTGGGCAGCGTGGCCCAGAACAGGGAGGCCAGGCCAGGCCTGGGGAGGCCCCCACTCCCTATGGTCCTGGTGCCTCTGGACCTCGCCCACCTGCCTGCTGCCCGGGACACACTTCCTCCCGGCTGGCTTTGTTGCCCCTTCTGAATCAGCTCAGCTTCTCCTCTCGCTCCCTCCACTCGCCGGGCCCAGCCAGGCCAGATGAGGTGCCTCCCCTGTTCTCCCCAAGAGGGACTTGGGGCCTGGAGGGTGGGTGAGAGCAGACTGTGGCCTAAGGGCAGACTGCTGGACAGTGGGAAACGGGACAGTGTATGTAAAGGCTCAGCACAGAGCCCCGGGCATAAGAAGCTCTCAGAAAGAACCACCATCACATCAACCTGCCAGCACTGTCCACAGGTAGAAGCTAGAAGACACCCTGAAAGATAACCAAGTGCAATTTGCTGTTTACACGTGATGACAACGGTGTGTAAAAGGAGACCCAACAGGACAATGGGCTGCATCTGCAGCAGCAAGAGAACCAGGACCAGAACCCACGTGTCCTGTGACCAGCCTGCTCCGCGCTCAGCCCTCTTGGACCCAGGCCCAGCCCAGGACCTGCCTGTCACCACGGCACCAGGGGAGGAGGCAAAGCTGGTGAAGTGCGGACAAGTGAGCCTCACCAGGGCCTGACCGCACCCCAATCCAAGCCCCACAGAAAGGCAGCGCCAGCTTCCCTCCCAATAAGCCCCCCTTGATCACTGCCCTGTGCTCTCATGACAACCAGAGGATGGAGACCTGCAGAAGCTGGAAGACGGGGGGGTGGGGTGGGGTGGGGAGCAGCCTGGTGCAGAGGAAAGGCCCTGCTCCCCAGACCTGGAGTCCAGGCAGGTTCCACACCTGCTCCCTGGCTGCATGCTGGTCAGTCACCGCTCAGCCAATCCCTTCGTCCGGAAAGTAGGGGTGATGACACGCACTTTGGGGACCGCTGCTGTAGAGGACGTGACGCACCCAGTAGGTCTCATCAGTAACATTGGCCAGAAGCTGTGGTTTGTGTGCTAGTTCTACCACTTGCTTTGGGACGGAGGCAAATCAACTCTCCCGAGAGTCTGGTTTCTCACGGGTTCCTACCCTTTCCACCTCCGACGTCCTTTAAACAAAATTACCTTATAAACCAAGGATTATCAGCAACTCTTCTTCATTTGGGTTTCCCACAAAGTATTTTTTTTTAAAACCTAGGCATATACCAAGTTGTGGCAGTATTTCACCCTAGCGGCTTTCTAGAAGGTTCTCAGGCAAGTCGCCTTGAGCGAGCCAGATCCATCCGTTACAATCTAGTCCTCTGGGTTCCCAGCCTCTCAGCACACTTGTATGCAGATCAAACAGCCCTTCCGGAGGGAGTGCACTGAGGCAGCCAGCCCGCCCTCCCAGAAAGAGAAAGAGCACTTACAGCTGGGGTTCCGCGCCCCAGCACACGCTCCCCGAGCCTGGGGGGAAGGGCCCCACTCTGCCAGCCTCGCCCACAGCTCTGGACCATCTCTGGCCTCCCGGGACCCACTCTGTAGCCAAAGAGCTTTCAGCCAAACCCATCCAGGCACAAGCCACAGGGTTCCTGCCACAGCCTCCCAGTCACTCCCCCTCCTCCCTCCCACCCTGCACTCCCCCGGTTAGGTCCTCCTGGCTCAGGTCTCGGGCCTTCCTCACGAAACGTCGATGGCTCCCGGCTGCAGGAGGGAGGCACACAGCTCTCTGAGGAGCACTCACTCACTCCTCTGCCTCATTAACAGAAGGTTGAAATGCCAGAGACATTTACCGTCTAAAGGGTCTCAATCGCCGGTCACTTCCGCTCTCTTCCCCGTGTCCCGTTAACCCCTAACGGCTGCACACCTGCGTCAAGGTGGCAGCTCTGTCACAACTCACCTCCTACGGCACTAGACACCTGTCCACACCTTCCTGCAGTGGAAACCTGTTCTGGGGCTGCACTCGCACAGCGTCCGGCTCTTGGTGACACTCGACCTCAGCCACGCCTGGGGCAGCGGTGTGAGTGCCATGCGAACCACATCTGTGGCGACTCACCCGCCGCTGCTTTCTGAGAGCTCACAGGAGGCCACAAGGATAAACAGAGCGTTCTCTGCATGGATTTTAAACATATTCTGTAATAACAAAAGCACAATACGCAAACCGACCGAATGACCGTCTGGACCGGACGACCACGCTGACACACGCTGGTGCCAGGCCAGCCAAGGCGGGGGTGATGCGATTGGTCGGGGGGCCGCCATCGCCCCGATTGCCAGGCAGAGGGAGGCCAGGCCACCGGCCAGCGGGGTAATCGATCGGGAGGAGGGGGGTCCTCCATGATCGCCCCAAAGAGGGAGGCCC